TTTAAAATATTTTGTTTTGTTCTTTTACCAATATACACTTATTCAATTTTTTCCATTTAATATGCCAACTTCTTGAAATTATCCAAATACACACATTTCCCACTTTTTGGAAACATAGAACAACTCTCATTTCTTTTTCGTCAAATTAAATCATTCAAATTCTTTACTAATTCCAACAATAATTTGTTACTATATATTGAAAATTAAATAGGAGTAAACTAGGAAAGATTTTGACAAAAATTAATTTTCCAATGACATGAAAAAAGATTTCTTAATTCGTGTAAAAAACGAAACAAGTCTATATAATTGAGACGGGGGAGTATTAGCAAGGCCTAATTAAATTGAAACGTGGCACGACCAACCCGCTTCTTCTAACAAGCTAGCTCTCACCTCACTTGAGATTGTACCATTGCCTTTGACATCAAGCCTACTTCCCCAAACAGCTCAAATCGTTTCATTTTTTCACTTCTAATTTGCCTTACACGAAATTATGTCATTGCCTTAATCGAAAAAATTTGTACCAAACGTAGTGATGTGCTGTCGCATGCATTAAAAAATAAAATTTATACTCCTCAAATTTATATATTGTGACTGTGTTTGATTAATTTGTGAACAGTTGTCACGAATGTGACCTGTAATATTTTTTCTTTTTTTATTGTGACGTAATATGTTACTTGAATGTGACCTATAAGTTTGTGTTATTGTGACTTCAATTCACGTAAATATACCATATGTATAGTATGTTTGATTGAAGAATATGAACAGAGCTATCTGACATTGGAGAATTAGCCACTTGTATGTTAATTTGTGATTGTAATTTATTAATTCGTGACCAATTATTATGAGTGTGATTGTGATCTATTACTTTGTCATCTATTTGTTGTGGTAATAACTTAGAGTGTTTGTAACTTACAATAATAATATAGATCACAATCTTCCAACCATTTCAATCACGATGACATACCTTAATTAGTGAAATCTACAAAATTAAGACCAGAATATATATAAATATACAAACCCATCAAATAATAGAACTAAGCTCAATGGAACACATTCCCAAGCACGGACTAATGCCTAAAATAAATTCAACACAAATACTAACACATTCATTGTTCTCTACATAGTAAGATGGGCAGAGTCCCAAGCTCCAAACATGACATTAGTACTTATTCAAATCCTAGTGAAATTATCTTACATGTCAAACGTGATAAAGATTGGAGATGAGATCTGCTGTCCAGTTTTACTATCCAAATGGCTGTCCATCTAATGAATTATTGGCATGTGCAAGGCTTCATTGAGGCGGTTCCAATGCTAAGAGCGGGTCGGACATCCTTGCCACGTGAATAATAGGGCCCCTAGGCCTCAGTACCACGTGGGTCGAGGTACGACAATTTGGTTAGTAGTAAAGTTAATGAAGATAATTTGAAATGAAATATTAATTATTGATGACACGTCAATAATTCATTGAATTGATAGCTATTTAAACAACAAATTTGATCAATAAATCTCAAGAGTCATGAGCGGCCCCCTCACATGTAGGAATGTACAGCCCTAAGAGTTGTACATTCAGAATAACCCAAATCTCAATTCTAAAGATTGATGGGCTATGATATAAATTGCCAAAGAGGTCACCATCATTATAGTACATACAGGTGAGTGAATGAATGAATGAGTAGATATATGTTACAAGGTACTAAATTGGCCACCCCATCACCCCCACCAAATGCCTAGAAAAAACATACTATAAACACAACTTGCATACAGACATAAAAACATGCCTAAATTCAAATAAAATTGAAAAGCACCAACAGTTTTCAACCATTCAAGAAATTCCAATTTGAGATAGGACCATCTTCAAACTCTTTAAAGTATTACTCATAAGACCTTTTTTTTTAATTTCCATTTTTCCATTATTCTTTTTTATTTTGATAATTGTTAATGAAGTCCCCAGCTGAGCCTGTCACATGTTATATAAACCCTTTGTTTTCTCCAGCCTTTTCTTTTCTTAATGGCCGTAGACATGATTAATTTGATCATATTTGGATAGTGTTTATAAACGGTTCGAGTTAAAAGTAGATAGAAATGATTTAATAAATAAATGAATATTATTTGTAGGTTCCTGAATTGTGAAGATTAAAAAAGATTTGAGCGTTTATAAACAGTTTATAAATCAAACATAAATATTCAAGAATAGGACGTATTTGTCCGCCTTTAGAGGTCCGTAATTTGTGATTTCAAGAGAAATTTTAAATGTAATATTCACGCCATTGTAATGAAATTCTATTATCTTAGTGTAAACGTAAGGAAATTATCTAACTACATGAAATACAATTTTTATTCTTTCACTTGACCACCATTATAATTGCTTCTATTATTACCGTAATCATCATTTTTTCACAGTCAAAATTGAAGAATCGGACAAAAAAAGAAATTCACTTTGTCACTTCTATGAAAAAGATTCTGATTCTTAAGAACCAAACATGTCTTTTTTCCTCAAATCAAACAAATAAAAAGGAAACTCAGTTGAGTTCTTTCACCGATACAAGGCTCAATGGAGCTCTTTTACAAATACTTTCATGAATTTATTAGTGTCGTTTGATTTCGCCTATTTTAGCACGTGATTTATAAAGAAGTTTACGTTCTCATCATCTTTAGTAAAATCGAGACAAAGCGTACTATTATTTTCGATATTTTATTCACGAAGGATGGTAAAAATGTTAAGACTATTTTTATATTAATTTGACACGACATGCGAATCTTGAATAAACTATATTGAACATCCTAAAAATTCTGGTTCCTCGAAAAAGGAGTAAAATATGTATCGTTATTTGAAAGCATTGGACCACTTAAGGTAACATGTCGACGGAAGAGTGTCGAAACTTGGTACCAAAACATAGTACAATAATGTAAACCTAGAAGTCAAAAAAGAACAAAGAAGAAACCAAAAGGAATACGATTATAAAAATAAACAGTGTGATTCTTGACCCTTGGGACTGCTAATCTTTTCAAACTTAAATATTAAAATGATTTTCCAATATTATAATTCATCAAGACAGAAGGCTGACAACAATTTTTAATAATAATTGAATTAAAATAATTAAAATAAACCAAAATGGAAAGTTAAGCAGTTCATAATATAATCGATGATGATGTCGCGGATGATGCAATTGTGCAAATTAATTTTTTAATAAATAAATAGTAAGTACCAACTAGAATATCAAATGGGATTATGGGGTGGATACACAATCAATTTTATATATTTGGATAGATTAATATAAGCACATTATTGGGATAGCAAATCCCTTTTGCAGTTTTCTAAGGATTATAATTAGTAGAGATGAATTAATTGGAAAAATGAACTGTATAGTACTACTTGATTCTATTAACAAAGGAAAAATATTAAAATTTTATTCGATGTACTATCCATTAAAGGTATGCTTGATTTTATGAGAAGGATTATTCTAATGGTACGTCACCATGTACCGAAGGATGTTCATAATGGACACCCGGCGCCCCCCCTATTGGAGGGGCGTCGATGACGCCCCTTTAGGTACCACTAGAATAATCCCTATGAGAAATAGGAATTTTCACTTTGGGAACAACTTGGCTTTAGGATATAGGTTAAAGGTCGTTAGGCATGATTTTTGTTTTTGTTTTTACTTCTTGTAGAAGAGCTTTTGAAGGAATGTACTTTAATTTTTATTTGAAAATTAATTTTTAAAAAAGTTTTTTATTCCGAAAGTACTTTTAGAAAAAGTCACATTTGACTAATTTCCTCTAAAAACTCTTTTAACTAAAAAAAATATACTTTCATAAAATTAATTAAATGTTTTTGATTTTTCAAAAATCGTGACAAACTAGCCCTAAATCATTTTGATAAAAAATGACTTGTTTGGTAAGGTCTAATATTTTGCAACATTAATTAACTATAGTGTTCATTCATATCAAATTACTTTGGGTAAAGTCCCCTCTCTTCGAAATCGATCAAACCCTTCTTCTTGTACAAGGATGATTGGTTTGTTTGGACATAATATTACTTGACTTTATTAACGAAGGAAAAGGTAACTTGTTCATAATTATACTATTCACTCATTGTGATACCTAGGTTAAGTCCTTGTTGTATGAGGCTCGATGAAATGGACACGAGAATTAACAAAGAAATAGAATAAGATCATGTTTGACTCGCCTTCTTTAAATAAAACAAAAAAATTAAAAAATATATATATTCTTAAATAGTGATTTGACAATATTTTAATCACACGTTCTTCAATAAAATAACATTACATCCAAATTCAAAAAAATTTCTTAATTTTTAACCATACATTTCCTATCAGTACACTATTAAAAAAATGCATTCTTATAAAAATAACGTGGCTCAAACAAAGGCTAAGTAGAATTTTGTATGTTATATTGACCGATCATATCTAGAACCGTACATGAAACGTGCTCGAATAATACTAGAGATTTTCACTTTGGCAGTGTCCTTCGAGGCTTTAGAGCATATGTCATGTCCCTCTCATCATAATAACCATGTCTGTCTGCTTTAGCTCATGAGTACTGATTCAAAGGATTTATTTTTTCCTTTTTCTATTTTCTGGTGCAAATGCAATGCAAGAGTAGACATTAATTATGAACGTAGTTTAAACAAAACAATAAGGAATGAAGAAAAATATTTTGGATAAATTTGAAGTTGGTTACATTAATCATTCTCCATCCCTATATACTCTAAACTTATAACAACATATTAATCAAAAGAGCAACATTAATTTCCAGAAAAGTTGGGGTTTTTATATTAATTTCTCCAGTTTTTTTGCTCAGTGCTCATCCTAATTGAAAACCCTGCCTGGTCATGTACCAATGGTTTCTGCCAGTTACACTGAGCACAAAAAAGGCTCAAAGCATGGAACTTCACAAAACTCACTCCAAAAAATGGAGATCTTAAAGTGGCATATAGCAGAAAGAAGGCCGGTTTAATTTCTGCAGCCGATTATCAGCCACGGGAATCCTGATGATGCTGCTAATAATCAAGGAGAATTTGTTTGCGATAAATGATCTTTCATATAAAGAGAAAGCTCTACTCCATCAGCTCCAAATACTGCCTCCATTGCTGCTGCTTGAAAACTGGATTGCAATTTTTCACATTAACGTTGAAAATGCCAAAAATTCTTACTAATACCAGGATCGGGGATTAAGGGCTTACTTGAAAATTTTGTGGGCTGAACGATGGTGAAAACATCTGAAGCATATGGGGTTCCTTAGCTTTCACAAATTGCCCATATCTATGCATTTCATTAACCTTCATTGAGCCCGGAGAATATAGGTGCGTTTGGCTTAGGAGCTGCGTGGTATCTGTTTCATTGAATACATCTCTTCTCTGCAAATCATTGTCAATCGGACTCACTTGGTGCTGGAAACCAAGAAACGGATAATCAAAACAAGAAAATCAAGAAACTGCAAGTTCAAGATATTCAATCAAATTGAATTAACAAGGCATTGATGCCTTCGTTATATACCTTCGGCATCAATCCCCGACGTTGCCATTCAAGTTCAAATTGCAGTGATGAAGAATGTTGGTCTCTAGCATGATGAACGTTATCCCCAAATTCTCGACTGCTTGGTTTTGATGCCAAATTTCCCAAACTCAAGTCAAGATTGTGCTCAGATGCATTACTAGAAGAATCTGTCATGCACAAAAAATTTCCATCTCTAGAATCAATTCAAGATTTTAAAAAAGTACACACACACAACAGTAAACTACCTGGAGCTTTAAGTTCTTCATAAATGCTGGGATCAAAATTGGTTACCGCTTCCTTTCCATTACTCTTGATGGCAGCTATATCATAAGCCCTAATTTAATGACAGAAGACAATTAACTCCATCAAATTAAGTTAGATTTAACCCTTTTGGCACGTTTCATATGCCGGACTCAACGGAGATTTTAGAGGGGAAAAAGTTAAAATCTCATTCCCAATGCAGTCGCTTCCAGTACTGTCAGTTGGAGGTAACATATAAGCAGAAATTAATGGAGATAATATCTAAACCACACAAACCTGGCAGCTTCAACTTCAGTATCAAATAGACCCAAATAAACGTACCTGTTAACACATAAGAGCAACTGATGTTATATATCAAAAATTAAGACTTGAAAAAAACCCAGAAAAGGGTTTAAATTTAAAAGAAATTGGGGACCAACACACACAGACACAGAGATGGACACAATGTGATTACTTTTTGCCTAAGAACTGGCCCATTCTGGCTTCCCATCTACCACATTTGTGCAAAGTAACACCTCTATACTTGGAACTTCCTCTTGGGAAACCAGTACTTTGTCGTCGAAGTACATGAACAAATTCTTCCTTCGTTAGATTTCTCATCTGAAATACAAAGAATATTATGTATCCCCTCGGAAAATACTATATTTTTCCTTTCCTGTGTCCAAAAAAACTCAAAATTTATAACACTAAATCAAGAATACAAACTCTTTAAAAAACATTGCAACAAAGAAGACTTTAATGGCATAATTGTAGCAAAGATGAAAAATAAGCTAAAATCTTATTCGTCATATTGAGTCCTAAGTCTCTCTTGGATTAATCTACCTGTTTTAGGTCTTCCTCGTAATCATCCAAACAGAAGTTTATGTCTGCTTCTACTCCACGAAACTTAATAGCTGCCCTATCGTATGCACTGTCACACATTCATTTGTAAGCATTAGTCTCTTCCAACTTCACATTTAATTTTTATTTTTTATTTTTTAATTCAATCAAGAATCTGCAAAAAATCCGAGTTAATCTTACCGGGCTGCAGCATGTGCTGTATCAAATCCACCTATACAAATTTGCAAGATAGGGAAAAAAATTAATAATTAATTTGGGTAATCTGATTATTTAAGACCATTAGTTTCATTAATTCTCAGGTTAAATAAGAAGAAGAATAATCTTGTTATAAATAGAGATGATAAATGAACTAACCTAAATAAACTTGTTTTCCACAATCCCTGAATTAGAAACAAAAAAATCAGAAAAATATATATTTTTTTTGAAAAATGGTAAGATTATATGAAGGATTGAGGTTGATTTAGATATTGTGTTACCATATGTGTGATTCCCACCGGCCAGTTCGCCGGTAAAAGGTGACGCCGCGGTACTGAGAGCTCCGGGACCTCGGCCCACGGCGGCTCTTCCTGAGAGGCTGCGAAACTTCCGCCGCAGACTTCCCCAAGACACCAACGGTATTGGGGTCGGACTGGCAGAATTTCACCCCCATCCAGTGGGCCCTTGGAAAATCGGGTGCTGCTCCACCTCCCGATGTAACGGTGGTTTCCGACTCGTCCACCGGGAAAAACTGCCTTGTCACCGGCGGCTCACTCCCCAACGAACAAGGACCTATATCATCATCATCATCATCACCGTCATGCGACACAGAGAAACCAAAGATTTTGCTGCTTCTTTTCTTGTTCCCGTCACCACAACTTCTCTCTGCGTCCTCTTCTTCCTCAGATAAACCATCCTCCACCGGCACCAACGATGCTGAGCTAAAGTTCCACTCAGATCCGACCCGTTTACCCCTTTCACCTTCATCCATCCTTTGATCCGGTGAATAGTTAAGATTCCACATTTCTGTTTCTTTGAACGAAATTTGAACAGTCCAGCCAGGCCCTGTAGATAAGTGTACAATTTAGAAAGAGAAAGTGAAGAGTTGTGTAAATTTTCTGAATTCTAATCAGCACTGTCTCATCAGAAGCAAAAATCTTCGGGCTGCAAAAGGCCTGAGTTTTGTACAAGTAGCTAGCAGTAAAAAGAAAAAGAAAAAAATTTATGTTTCCCAAGGACAGAAGAAAAAAAAACCTATTCAACTAGATCTCTCTTGTTGCCTTGCTGATTTGGAGTTTCAAGGGGATTTTGTTGTGTGTAACATAAATACTGTCTGTATGTATAGGTGAAACATTAATTCTATATCTCTCTAGTTTCTCTCTCTAAAAGTTTTCTCTGTTTATTTCCACAGGCCGTATAAAGATAAACAATGGCAAGGGAGGGGGGAGAGAGAGAGAGAACAATTTGCTTCCTCCTTCAACTTTCCGACGTTAACCAAATCGAAAAGCATCAATCCATGTCAATACCCTTTCTCTCTCCTCATTTTCACCTCTTCAACTACACTAATAATGGAAATAGACAGCACCAACACCTTAACCTTGACTTATTTATCAATAACCTTAATTAGGCTAAGTTAATTATCATTTCGTTTTCATTCATTCACTCTCACGTCTCTTGTCATCTCCACCACTGCACCACACGCACTTCCACGCTGTTCTGCACGCGCAAAGAAAGATATACATTTGGTACTGATTATATTCATGAATAAGAGCATCTTCAAAATGCTTTCTAAAATATCAGTGTTATAAAAAGTAGTAAATTCGAAATTATGCAGTCAACTTGAGAGTTGATCTTTTAAAGTACGATTTCTTTATTTTTATTTTTTATTTTTTTTTCCTGTATTTAAAAACTTTTATTTTACTTTAGTTTTGAGTTTTCAAATCATTTTATCTATATAAAAGTAAAAAATGACTTGTTCAAAGAAGTTAAGATACGTTACTAACTACGTTATATAATTATTATTTTAAAACTTATTGCTTTGTTAGAAATATTGAAAATATGTGTGAGATTCCTACAAATTTATTAAGTGAGATGTGTCTAGTTAAAAGTTGTAACTATGAAAAATAGTTTAATTTTTGCATTTTCAATACTTGAAAATTATATAATTAATAAATTATAGAAATTATTAAGCAAAAATAGTATTTATAATATTAAAAATATGATTGTAAAGTTTGAAACTTGGCCTTTACGTTTATTTATGCTTTATATTTTTTAGGACACCGCTAAATGCAAAATGCTTCAAAATAGACTCCAATAGATTTTTTATTTGAAGTTTTTAAAAAAGAGAGTGAATTTGACTCTCTGAATTTAGAAAGTCAAACTTTCTCTCCATTCTTAATGTACAATAATTATATTTAACCCATGTTTGAGTCCCATTTTAGTAAAAAAATATGTTTGAGAATTGGGATTCTCTCGAGAATGAGATTAAAATTAAGTACACGTTTTTTATTTACATGTAAAATTAATTTATGGAATAATGTGTAATTGAATATGAATTTTAAAAAAAAAAACTGATTTTTTTTTTTAAATGAAGGTCAATCTAGGCTTAATAAGTCACAGATTTCAATACTCTATTTCTTAACCTATTCAAATTACACTTAAATTGATTGGTCATTGACGTATAAAAAATTATGTCAAATAAAATATGAGCATAAATCAATAAATATATTTATTTTTTGAGAAAAGAAAAATGAAAATTTAAAATAGAGAGCACCATTGGAGTATAAAAATTTTCACTTTTTAAATTTAAATACACTCTCTATATTACATAAAATACTCCTCATAAATAACGTTTCTATTAAAAATATTTTAAAAAATACAATTTATATTTATATTGAGCCTCCTTTTGGTTCGTAATTTTTTAAAATTCATTTTCAACGAAATATTATATAGGATACAAATCATATATTTCACCATTTTTTTAATAAAAAATTACTAAAATAGTGGCTGTCTGGTTCTTTGCTTTGTTTGGTTTTGCAAAAAAAATTGCTGAGTAGAGAAATACAAATGGAGAAACGCTACACTTACAAGGGTCTGTTTTACTGACCCCTGCCAGATCTCTCACATGTGTCGGTCCCAGCGTAATTTTTTTTATGTGGGACCGACCCCTACAGTGAGGGGTCGATAAAACATCTGTAGAAAATTGTTCTGTGCACAAAGCAATTTCCATACAAATGTGTTATTTTGTATATATTTCTTGTTATCATTTTCTCCATCTTATTACTATCAAGAGTATACATTTCATCTCCAGCCAACACATACAAAATTACATATATATATATATATATATATAAAGGTTTGTTCGATTTTCATGTACTTCATAAATATTAAAAATAATGAAGCTTTATAAATACGGATTAATTGTTGAGAATATTATTTGTAGATCTATCTATTACAAATATTTTGTTATTGCTTTTGAAGTAGCACAACATTATTATTAATAATCCAGAAGAATATTATGTTTATTGCTCTTGAAGAGCAGATCTTCATACAGATAAATATCTTATAATGATAATTTGGACTCTATTTAAAAAAAAAAAAAAAAACTCATTTTCAGCTATATATTCTTTAATAAAAAAATTTTATACTGAAATCATAATAATTCTTTATTTTTTAATCATACTCTTCAAAAAATTACTATTTCAAGATATATTTTTCTCCTATAATGCGTCTCAAAAGGAAGATTCATTTTCCCCCATAAATTGGTCTCAACATAAGTTAATCTGGTGTTTGGTGGGGATAAAATTAGATTTTTTTAGTTGATTGTGATAGAAATTTTTGAAATATGTAGTTAAAAATTGTGTAACACGTAAAAAAAATATGATTAATATTAATTATTTAATTTTAATTTAGATTAATATCAAATTTTAATCCGTGGCAAACGAGCTCTAAATTCCCAATAGCAGAAAACGAGGCGAGGACAGGAGGGTAATTTGGGAAAAGAAGAGGTGGACTGATTGTGAGTTGAGGGGAAGGACATTGGGGGTCAGAAAAGGAAAATGGAATAATGGTAATAAAAGGAAAATCTTTCCACAAAAGTCTAATCCAAAAGTACTGGAAAAAGGGCCACCCATTTCCTTCATTTCTACTTACAGCCCTACCTCGCATTCTATGCCCACTCTCACTTTCACCGCGCGTGTCTTTTGTCACAGATTTCGTTGTCTTATATTTCCAGCTGAAATGACACTCATATCCTTGGAACTTGGGGAGAGAAAATTTCGTTAGAGGTCTCCCAACTTAAATAGTTAGTTTACGTCAGTCCCCTAACTTAAATTTTTTTATCATCTCGAACAATTCTTTTATATTTTTATTTCAGTTTGATCTTTTATAATTGTGCATAAAATAAACTATCAATCTTATTTTTCGAGGGAATGCTTAACTAGTCACTTATTTGATGTTAAATTAATAGTTATTGCGAACAAGGAAAGATGAAAAGCGTTAATTTTGAACCTTATTTTTAAGTATATATTCTTTTATTTCGTAATAATCTAAACTCTTATTTTTCATATAAAGGTTTAGAGCAAACAATCTCCATACTATTTTGTAGAAGGTATCAGTTGCATTCATGATAGTTAAACTTACTTCAAATATTATATTTTCTTTCTTAAAGATACAAACTCATTTTTCGTATATTGCTTAAAATGCAGATTTATATAGGGATCGACATGCTTTTTCATTTTGTTCTCGTATCAAAAGAACCAAATCAAACCATGAACCAGTGATTTTTTGATAACGAAATCGATTATTATTTTTTAATACGGAACAAAATCGAAATCAAACCACTTAGTTTTAATTTGATTAAGTTAATAATATATGCCTAAATAAAAAAACTAACAACATATATAGCGTATTCAAGTTCAAGTTACCAATCATCAAATGAAATATTGTATAACAAAATCCATTCACAAACAAACAAAACATAGTCATAATTTAAATACACAAACATCAAGTTTCATATTCATACAAAATATGTCTAATAACAATGATTCACTAATGTAGAGAATGAATCAGTAATAAAAGTTGAATTTTTATTTATTTATTTTTTTTGACGTGATTTACTAATTTGTTAAAAAAAAAATACATATAAAAAATAATAAAACTTGAGTTCGTTCTCGATTCTAATTCTGGGTCTAGGACCAAATGGTTCTTTGTTCTACTAATCAAAATTTTTGTTTTTTTCATTTAGAATAAAATTGAATCGCTTGGTATGGTTCGACTGTTTAGTTAGATCTTGTCATTTTGTTAAGTACGAAAGCCTACTTATTTCAAGTTTGAGCTTTCATTTAAATAAAAAAACATTTGAAAATAAAAATTTGAAGTAAATCGATTTTATTTTTCATCTCGACTAAAACATGTTCTTAGTTATCAGTTGGAAACGACAGTGAAATTCACATAATGCTAATAAGAGCTTAGAGCTAATCGGCACCATAAAAATAGTTAAGACAATTGAACAATGGAATAGATTTTATGCAAATTAGTAGATATTAGCATTTTATCATTGTAAATTGTCATGCCCCAGTATTTCAATATATATGGATGATCGACTAACTTACGAAGAGCATGTCCAAAAAATTCTCTACTTTTAAAGAGTATATTCTATCATTTGGAGAGTGTCTATAAATTTAAAGAGTTAAAATTTTGAAGTACTCCTATAAATTTTTTATATTTAATGCTTAATTTTACCACTCCCAAAAAATGTTTATTATTTTTCTCTATATTTTATTTTAACTAGTTTTCTTTACATTATTTTGTTATTTTTTTACATTCAAAATTGAAACACTTAGAATGCATTTAATTATAGAGAATGAGTTGGCTCTCCAAACCCACTCTTTAAATTAAAATATTAATTTAAATTATCTAAATTCAAATTCTATTTCAATAGAAATATCTAAATCCACCTTTTACCTCTTGTGGATGTAAAAAAGACATAAATTTACATCTTTTTTTTATATTTTTAATCATAAAATGTAATTTGCATATCTTTATTGGAGAGGTTTTCAATCACTTTGAGTTTATTTGGCCCCCATTATTTCTCATTAAATTAAATTAAATTTTTTACTCTCCTATTTTTAATCACACAATTTTCAATAAAATAATATTACACGTAAATCAAAAACTTTTCTTTTCTTTTCAACCACTTATTTTTCAAAAAAATACTATTCAAAACATTATAATCTTGAAATAATGGGGCTCAAACGGGGGTTAAACCTCTATTTACACCACAATTGAGATGTTTGCAGTATGGATATAGTACACTTTTAAGGTTTTCAATCAGTTATTCTAAACCCTATTTACACCGAGATGTTTGCAATATGGATAGTACACTTTTAAACAAAAAGTTGCAACATATTTATGCCTTATTTGGGTTTCTTTTTCACTTTTTTTTTAATTTTTAATTTTATTTTAGGGAAATGTGTTTTAGAATAGTGATTTTTTTAGAGATTATGTGGTAAAAAAAGGGAATTTTTTTGATTTAGTGTAAAATTATTTTATAAAGAAAGTATGA